GCTGAAATTATGGCTTTGTCAATTTTTGTGATTACGAATTTTTGCTTCAAATCTTGTATTAGAGGATTGAGAAAATTCCATGGTAAATTGCTGTTAAATTCTATCCTTTGAATTTTTTGCTTCATTTCTTCTAATACTTCATGTTTCCAAGCCACAAAGGCAGAATTTGGAATATTTAATTTGTAACTAATTTTAACTATGAACTTGTCAAAATTTTTTACAAAACTTCTAAAACATTGATGTTTGCCAATTTTTGGTACAAGTCGAAATTTTGTGCCTTTTTTCATTAGATTTCTTAAAAGCTGGTTTTTAATTATTGTTAAATTGCCAGTAACAATACATTTATGAAAATTGTCTACTTAGTCTTTATATTAAAGTTCTTTGCAGTATCAATGGGCTGTAGAAGCTAGATCATGGTGGTTAATTAATAATTGCTTAGAGGTTTTTGATACTTCAAAGCTGGTGAGATTTGTATTTTAGTAACTAGAAATTGTTGTTGACATTTTTTGAAAATTTTGTATAACTAAATATTATCATAGTTCAGATGTAGGAAGTTGACTGTGCAGTAATATTTATTGTCTTTGTCAGTGGTAGAGAATTTAAAACTGCAAAAATCTATAACAAGGTCTTTGATAATATTGGGTCCCGTAAATTGCTGTTGAACAAAATTTACAAGTTTCAATAAAAATTTGTGTTTACAAGTATGTAACCAAGTAATGATATTTTTGGTGAACTGTTCAGTTAGAAAGTAATTATTAATAATTACTTTCTAACTGAACAATAATTCTAATACCTTTACTGTATCTACTTGGTCAAAAAAATTTTATTTGTTGTCTATTACCTGCTCTGGTTCCTCTTGTAATGTTTTTTTACTGAGCATAATTTAAAATGGCTGTAGGTTGGAATTTCAGAATTTAATTTAATGTGTTGGTTGAAATGTATTTAGTCCATATGGGTAAAGTGTTTTGAATTTAAGCATGTAGAGTGACTCTTGAAATAATCTATCTTTGCATTCAGGCAGAATGTCCAAAATTTGAATACTAATGTTGCTGAAATCATGTATTTGAAAATGTTCTAATTTTGCTGTATTAGGTCTGTAAAATTGATAGTAGCGAATTTTTTAATATGCGCTCTGCGGTTATTAATTCTAATATTAAGACTATATATAGATAGAGAGAGAATTATCTAAAATTCATTGAATTTGAAAACAAGTTTTTCTTGCATAATATCTGCAAAGTAAGATAATAATAATTTATTTACTAAAGAAATATTGATTATATTATCTCCTAATATAAATTTAGTAGAGTGTATCAAAAAGAGGGAACCCATACGTAGGAAGTTTAATTCCGAAAATTGTGTTTTAAAGGAACTTGAATGTAAATCATGAAAAATACTTTTTAAGGTGACTTGAATTTAAATCATGAATAGCAACTAATTTCCGATCAATAGCAATAATTACTTGTTTTTTAATTTTTAATTTCTTTTTCAAAGTTTGAAATTTTGCTATTCATGATTTAAATTCAAGTCCCCTTAAAAAGTTTTTTTTCATGATTTACATTCAAGTTCCTTTAAAACACAATTTTTGGAATTAAACTTCCTACATATAGGTTCCTTCTTTTTTGATGCATTCTACTAAAATTTATATTAGGAGATAATATAATCAATATTTCTTGTAATAAATTATTATATATATATATATAAAATTTTTTAAGATATATATATGTGAAGATTGTTGAGCAATTTTTATAAAACAATTATCACCATGAAATATACCAATAAAAAACTGCCAACATTTGATGCCAAAGAAATAGGTTCAAGATATGGTGTTTAGAGAATGAACAGTTACAATTAGTAATCATTTTCATGAAAGACAATCAAGACAGGAATCTTAACTCGAGTAACATCTTTTGATAGCAAAAATTATTTATTGAGGATTTATGTAAAAGTTTAATTTTCGTAGGCTCTCATTAATTTTATCAAAGGATTATAACATGATTACTTTGTATATTGCTAAAAATTTCACTGAGCCCTAAAAAAATTCAAATAAGATAGGGCCCCTACTTTATGAATTTGAAACTGCTAACAATTTTAAAACAATTTCATGCTTTTAGAATAAAATTCTTCAGAGTAACTCTTGTTTCACTTACATATTTTTTAAATAAAATTTTGAAATAAAAATAAGGAAATGTGCTTCATCACTTCAAATGTACAGAAAACGCAATCCAAAATATTGTTGTATATTTTTGTAAATTTGAAATTTATTTTGTTCCATTGTCATAATATTGTACATTTATTTATTTATTTAATATTTGTGGCTACATTATTTATATGTGTCTACACATATATAAATGTATATTTTTTATATGGAATTGTTAATCTTTAGGTTTTGAGCATGGCAATGTTTAAATTGTAAAAATAGCTTAAATGAAATGTGAAGTATGCTCCTCACCAGCCTTGGCAATTGATTAATCTTGCTTTTAGAAGCTCATGCTACACCAGACCCATGGCTGTGTTATGCTATAAGCATGACTCAGAGAGCTCACTCAAGTTGTTGTTGTTATTCAACTATGATATTTAGCACGAGTTTACTTTGTAAGTGATTTTTGCAACTGATTTTATTTCTTGTGAGCTAAGCAGTAAATGTTTATATCTGTATTTTGTTTAGACTATTGCTGCTATTGATTGTGGAGTAGTCATTTTGAGAGAAAATAAAGAACAGCATTTCCCTTGCTTTTGCCCTTGTACTGTGTTTTAGTTTATCATTAATTCACTGATTATCCATTTGTTATACTACTACATATTAATTTTTACAGAACATTTATTTTTACTTTATCTCTACCAATCTTCTACAGCAGCATTTCTCAAATTTTTTCAATGGGAAACACTTCTGTATATTAGAATGCTATGCAGACTACATACTTTCGCCCTCTTTGAAAGTAATTTTTAGCATAAGTTACTGCCAGTATACTTACAGTTCTAAGATGCAATTACATAAAATACATTTAATTTCACACTGGTATTAATCAACTAAGCCAACAGAAGAAAAGCCATTTACATATAATCTCACCATCAATGAAACTGTTGCCAAATAACCCAATTTAACGTTGGTTATGGATAAGCGTGACATAACAGCACACTCATAACATATGCACTTTTGTCTGATGTTACCCGATTGATTTGTGATAAGCCACCTTTTTTTATGAAGAAGCATACACATTAACTGTTATTGCTGTATTTTTTCCCTTGCATTTTGAAAACAATGGTAAAATTGGGAGCTGCCTTTTACAGAACAGCAATCAGTGGTTTATTTTACAAGTTACGGGATCCTCCTACCAAAATATGTGTACTATTGGACACAATATGATCAGCTGAACATGGCTGATAAAACAGTAATTGATTGAAAAGTTATTTGTGAGAAGATTGTACTCATAGCATTCTAAACAGAACTGCCTATAAATTTGGAGGGTTTAACAAATCAGTAGAAATTCATGAAAGCTTACTGACTCTTTATTAAATAAAGAGGCATTAGTTCCTACAGAATTCCATACAGATGACTGGCGCAATTTTGGTATAATTTCCACAACTTTCTCATTTTGATGGTAGACAACTTTCAAAATAGACAGGAATATATAAGTACCAAAGGAAATTAATATTTGGTTTTAATAATTCAAAATTATTAGAGTTTGGATAATGTATAACCTATTATATAAACATTAGTATTCACACTCAAGAGATGAATGAGCTTGCTGATTCTTGAACAGATTTTCTATGCATTGATGTATGTTGGTAAGCTGAAGTCTGAAACTGGCACATACATCAAGTTCAGTACCTTCCCTTTTTTGAGTTAGTGGTGAAAACCCTTTTTTGCATAGATACATAGAAGCATATAGAATTCAAATTTTTAAAGCACCACTCTGCATTTCATTTCATTTTCAGTGGTAATGAGATCTAGAAATTAACAGTACCTCCCGCTTGGAGTTTCATTTTATGTCAAGTGTCATTACAGTATTCAGCTTACTGTTCTTTTTCATTCAGTGATACTTTATTTTCAAAATCATAATGGAAATGACCAAGAATTCATGAAAATTTATTATACTGAACATTTGAAAATAAGTTTCAAATTTTGACATCAGTTTTCTTACATGCAAACACAAGTCACTGCATAATTCGTTTTCAATAATGATATCATTTTCTACTAAAGATGCCAAGACTGAAAATGGTAACAAAATTTCTCTGTTTTATAAAACTAACACAGAAACAAAGCTTCCTCCCAAACTCCTCTACTTTCTCACAGGCATTGAGAATAGACAAATTAACCTTGTAGACAGAGATTTAGTTTAGTTCTGAGATTACATCTGAAAGATACACCAACATACTTAGCTATACATCATTAGCAAGAAACAGCATAAAATCTTATTAATTTTATTTAGAAATAACAGGTTTCTGAAAGAGTTTTAAAAATACAGAAGGACCATGACAGCAAGCTTCAATGATGACAGTTTGAGAAATGCTATTCTAGAATAATGTTTTTTTTTTTTAAATTATTATTTTTGAAATTAATTCCTGCTTTGAAATTCATTTTTACCACATAATGAACAGTTGTAGTTTGATCCAGACTCAAATCTTGATGAATGCTACATAAGAATTTTTATGGATTCTCTATATGAAACATAAAGACAAACCAGTTTCCATTACCATTTTTATGGATTGCTATGGATTCTCTATATGAAACATAAAGACAAACCAGTCTTTTTGAATAAAAAGTCCTCCACAAAAGCATCCCCCACCCTTAGGTAAATAACACTCCAGTGCTTTGCTATAATCTAAATAATAATAAAGCCTATTTTCTATTTTTATGAAAGAAAAAAAAAAAAAAAAAAAAACAGATAAAATAAAATCCTACCAAAAAATGCATTTCAATTAATTTATAATTTTTATCTAAAAACAGCTTTTGAAATTAATAAATCTTCATGCACACAAAAATAAAAATTACTACTTACGGAACTACATGACACCTGTTTACTTCAGAAACAGGCAAATATTCTTCATATGATCCATTGAGTGAAAATTTAGCATTAATTTCTGGCTTTAAAACAGCTAAGCGATATATATAGCTCCTCCATTTTGCATCATGCCTAGCATGAAAAGTGTCAGGTACTACACAAGTCTTAGCTACCCTGAAAAAATATTAATATTCTTTAAATATTTCAGAATTTTATTATGTACAAATTACAATAAATATAATTCATACAAAGGGGGATAAAGGTTTTATTCATTTGATTGTACATTTAGGTTAACCAGACTTTAGGTATTAATTTAAGATTAGCCAAAATAGCAGTCGCAAAAATGTTTCGGCTACTAAGAACAGAGACCTATATCTGATTGCTCTCAAAGCTGATAGTTTTATTCAAAACCTACCAAACTAAGGTTGCTTTTTTTTTTTTTTTTTTTTTTTTTTTTTTTGCCAATTTAAAATTTTACAGTTGCATGTTTCTTTTTCAGTTAACCTTAACAAAATTCTGCAAAATTTGCAACCATGTAGCATTTATATCCATTTAAAAATACTGAAACAAAGCAGCTTCGAAATAACATGAAGCAAAAAAATAATAAAAATAAATAATTCAAACAGTATTTGAAGAATGTGTAATGTTAATACTATTCATTTTTGGAATTTTCTATACCTATCAGGGTTGTTGCATGTACTTATTATTCTGCATGCATAGAAATAGCATGTGGGAGGGGCAAAAATCACTAGAAACTGTGCAGTGCTGTTCAGTGATCTGATATGACCATTTGCATGGCTCTATACCAAGAGCCATATAAGAAACTCAAAAAGAAAAAAAAAAAAAAAAAAAAAAAAAAAAAAAAAAAAAAAAAGAAAAAAAAAAAAAAAAGACAATAGGAAACGAAATTTTTATTTAAATCCAAAAATGTGGAATGAATTATTACACAGGCTTTGGATATGCCATGTGATGAAAGCAATATCATTCAAAATGTAATATCTTAATTGTTTTTTTAAGAGAAAACTTATACATCAATATTCCTTACTTCAGGACATTTTTCTTTTTTAAACATGGCATTGCACACAACATATCTACTGTATAAAAACAGAATTCAGTGTACGAAGAAATATTTTGAAGAAACTAACAAGAATTCTACACATTTTAATGAATGCATTTTTGTAAATAAAATATTACTCTGTTGCTTTGCTCCTTGTTCAGGAAAATATGTTTCCATCTCTTTTCTATATACAAATATAACATACATATTTTACACTAATGTGTGATACATGGAACATTATTTGCCACTTTCTGATTATGACCACTCCCACAATAAGTCGGCAACTCATTGGGAATTTCGTACATTGGTGGAAAACATTTGTTTGGTTAGTTTTAGAACTCACAGTTACTATTATATTCATAAAATAATAATAATTATAAAAGCATTTTAGAAGAAATCTCACGAAGAAAAAACAAATGTCTATAGGGCTGAAATTTACATTCTTACAGCCAGTGAATTACTGTTCAGCAACATGACAGTTAAATGTAAAGCCTGTATCTCCATGCATACTTAAATGAAAGTACCATATTTTACTAGCAAAAATTGTGGCACACAAAAGCATACATTTTCTACTGCTACATGTATACTCCAATATTTAAAAAAAAAAAAAATTAAATTAGGAAGTTCTATTGCATGTTGAAAACAGGGAAGAAGGGTGGATGATCAGAAATAGCCAATATTTTGTAAGTGAAAAAAAAAAAAAAAAAAAACTAGCAATTTTTTTAACCTTCATCTCCCTCTCCCCATGAAGTGATTTTAGTAGAAATAAACTGAAATCAGAAGATAAATAAAGCGAAATCAAAAGATATTGTAGTCTTTGCAATAATGTAAAAAGCTTTACTTTAGGGAGAAGAGAAAAGGAGCACTTTGAAAAACAAAACCACTAATTTATCTTCATTCTTAACCCATTTACAAATCTTTAGAAAAAATTTTAAAAATGAAATGGAACAACATGCACTGTGAATAAAATGCAGTTGAAGATGCATATATTATTTTAAGATAAGAGGGAGCTTTCTGGGGATTCTGTATAAAAAAAATCCAATACATGTATACTAGGCATGAGAACTTCTGATACTTTAGGTATTATTCTGTTAGAACCATGGAGGTAGGAAAGGAAGGAGGAGCCAACCGGCGCTAGAAGTGAAGCACTCCTTTGAAGCTTGGGTCACCAGATGGGATGTTCTTTGTTTACATTCAGAAGCTCGCTTGACAGGGTTCTGATAGTATTTCGACACACGATAGATCCATAAAAATCGAAAAAGGGACACTTTCGCATGAAAGAAACATTCATAGTGTGATGGATAATAGCAATTTGAATAGTTTAGTAACTTTTACACAAAAATCACATCTTGGTTATTTTTCGATAACTAACAACAGCGATTTTGATTATGAATTTGTTTTATAAAATTCTAAGCTGTTGAACTACAAAAATATAGATTTTAAGAAAAATGTTATGCTTAAGGAATGAAAAACACCTTACGGTACATTTAAAATTGTATACGGCTTTCGATACCCTTTAGAGTTTTCGCTACTTTTATTTTATTTTCCAAACGCCGAAAGGTTTTGAATAAAACAAATTTTTTTCACATCCATATATTATTTAACATGTACCTTTTAAAATTTTTTAGAGGAGAGGCTTTACTGCTGCCCATTTTAAACTCATCGTTTTAATTTTATATATCTGAAAAATAATCACTTTGCGCTTACACGTTTACTTATTTGGGTTAATTAAAATAAAATTACCATCAAATGCTGCAATCCTCATCAAAATTAATAAAATATACACACAGATACGCCAATAATTTAGCTTTTCCTTGATTTGGAACCACCACATTGTGTAAAATTATGTAAGTTTTACACAAATGTGTGGACGAAGAGGGATACATTTGCGAATTTGGCAGAAGTACCATGTGCGGTCAAGATGATGTGACCATGCGAACGTGCTACATCATCAAGACACTTATTCAGAATTTGAAAATAGGGTAATCGATGGAGGTGAAAACATTTGTATATCCTGCCAAAGGAGGTACGATCATGAATGGTCCTCTTATTGATTCCATATTGTTAAATGTTTCCCATATAAGTCTTTTTTTTCTCGGAAATTTGAGTTTTATGCTGGCTTCTTAACGTACGCAGGTCATTAAATTATTTATAAATGTATTTGAAATGAAGAATTTATTCACTTATAAACAACTGTGAAAGTACTGTGAAGAAATCTAATTATTAAATGTATCTAATTTATAAGGATTATAAATGTTATCTAAATATACGAGGGCCATCCAGGAAGTAGATTACGTTTCCGTCTGTGTCCGCTAGGGGCAGGGCTAGCGCTGCCATCTTGGGGTCAGAGCGTTGCGCAGCTCAGTCTGCTCTAGCCGTGCTAGTGAGAGGTTCGTGCTGTGCTCCGTTCAGATACTGTGACGGTTTGAAATGTCTGCGTTAATTGAAATCCCGCGAGCTGCGAGGTGCGCTCAGTATAAGGTTTCTGACTGCAAAAAACTGTAAACCGATAGAAATCTATCGGCAGCTCGTGAGTGTATGGGGACAACATTTCACTGAAGGTTGGAGTGGTCAGTGGGTCATAATATTTCAAATGGGCCAACCAATGTTAACGACGAAGATCGAAGTGGGAGACCCAGCATAGTGACCGCCGAACTTCTCGAAAAAGTCGATGCTAAAGTCCGTGAAAATCGAAATTTCCACAATAACGGAACTTTCTTGAGTTTTCCACAAATTTCGCGAAGTTTGTTGCACGAAATCTCAGCGAAAAGTTGGTTACCACAAGTTTTGTGCAAGAGGGATTCCAAAAATCTTGACAGAGGACCACAAAAATCAGCGAATGGCTGCAGCGTTGAACTTTTTGGACGCTTACCATAAGGATGGTGACTCTTTACTCGATCGCATCGTTACTGGTGACGAAACATGGGTGAAACATGTGAACTGTGAAACGAAATTGCAATCAATGCAGTGGGGGCACACAAGTTCTCCCAAAAACCCAAGAAATGCATGCAAACAATGTCGGCAAGGAAGATGATGGCGACTGTTTTTTGGGACAGAAAAGGTGTAATTTGGTGGACTTCCTGGAAAGAGGCACTACAATAAACTCTCAAAGGTATTGCCAAACTCTCCAAAAACTCAGAAGAGCAATTCAAAACAAGCGCAGAGAATGTTGAGCTCTAAGATCTGTTGATTCACGACAACGCCCGGCCCCACACGGCAAATGTCACTCGTAAGTTCTTGAATCTTTTTAGTGGGAGTTGTTTCCATCGCCGTACAGTCCCGCCTGGCACCGAGCGACTTCCACCTATTCCCAGCAATGAAGAGTGGCTGGCTAGGCACGTTTGATGACGACGCACAGCTGCAAGAAGAGGTAACGAAGTGGTTGAAGGCGCAGGAGGCCGAATTTTTCGACGAAGGAATTTCCAAACCTACATCGCTACGATAAATGCCTAATTTGTATGGTGACATGTAGAAAAGTTAGTATTTGAGTGTGGCTTTCATCTGTATATAATAAAATTTGTTTCTATACTTTGTTTATTTTTTTATTCCAAACGTAATCTACTTTCGGATAGCCCTCGTATAATAACCTTAATATGAATTGTAAACATAAATTGAAATCCTGTTGACAATACGTTAAAACTATTTAAGCAAGAATTGTTCGTACTGGAAAGTAATCTGTTAAAAGCATTGTAAAGCAAATTCTATGAGATGTGCACTTAAGGATGTAATAGAGTTTTAGAATATTGTATTGTTGAAATTGAAAGGGTAAAAAAATTAATCTGATAAGTATAATTAAAAGAATTATTCCCTTGCATTTTATAATAACTCAGTTACAAATTTTAAATAATGTACTTAAAAAAAAAAACTTTTTTTTATTCCCTTTCAGAAATATTCAGAGAAAGTCAAGTACTATTTAAAGATTCGCTAATTCCTAAGAATTCTCTAATTTAAAATGAAATGAATAAGCATTTAATTTAAAATGACTTACATTTTTCGATTTAAAAGATGCCTCAAAGCCAAAAAATCATGTCTATTAAGAAAATATTTAGGAAGAAGCTCTATAAATAGAAAAGAATAATGCATAATTTTAATATTAATAATACAATAAACTTTGATC